AAACAACATGGCGACTGGCCGCGTTTGTCGATCGACACTGCCGACTATCGGGGCCCGATGTTCATAGTAATCTTTTGTTTTCTGTGCCACGCCAGGCCACGCATAAGTTATACCATGCATGGTCAAAATAAAGTAAATTGCGATGCTGACGTGCAAAAGAACTTTTTATTTTAGTACATTTCACTTCTCTTCTGTGATTTCGCGCTAAACAAACGATTGCGTTACGCTATGTAAACAAACATGGCGACTGGCCGGGCCGCTTCCGCTGATTGCCGATTCAGAATTTAAGTGATTTCTTGTTCTCCGGGCTACGTATAAGTTATCTTATGCCAAAATACAGCAACTTGGGCAGTTATCTCATCAATGTAGGGTGTATTCCGCTGAATTTCCGGTAGATTTAAGCCTCCTATATGTGTTTTCCGGTGCTTTCCGGTAAATAGGCAGACCGTTTTGTTGTATTGTTAATAGCAGTTGCGCCGTAGCGGGCATGAAATATGTATAGTACGTTTTCGAATCACGAAACACAGCCAGTCTTTTCTTCGGAGAGGCTGGCTAACTGAATAAAAATAGCCCTGTAGCTGTAGCTATCTTGTTTCCACAGCTTTTACAGCTTTCCCTGGCCAAACTTGTAAACAAACATAGCTAGAGTTCAGAGATCTCATGTCTTCGTCAAGGATCATTGGTTGTTAGACATGATTGCCTTATGTTTACGTATTTTAGGAGTCATTGCTTTTAGTGTAAGACAGTTACATGCTTTAATAGACCAACCGTGTATGGTGAAAAACATCTGTCCCACCGTGATATATGGCCATTAGGTCGTTGACCTACAGGGAAAGCATCTACCACAACCAAACAGCTGTCCCACCCTGTTTAATTCATAAACTTCCATCGACGTGCAGATACACAAGTTATCCTTCTAACAAAAAAAAAAACGGAAAATGCCCCCTGCAGTGAAGTTTTTTTATTATTTTGGACTGTTAAAAATGACTGTTACCAAAATTCTGCTTACTGTATTATGATCACGACAGTGTCGCAAATTGTAATAAGAGAAGATGTGATGAAAGGCAAGAATCAGAACAGGGCGAGATTTATTGCTGTTTTCGTTTGTTGATACACTATGTCCTTTTATTCAATTTGCGTCCTAACCTTTGTATCCACTGTTAGTATATTCCACATCTATGCATCTTAATTTAGTTTTCTTCGGCTCTTCCTGTATTTCATAGCGCATTTGCAATAAATTTAGGTGTCAAGTTGACGTCAACCATAAAGATTACTTGGTCTGGCCTTATAATTTAGGGAGTGACCTGACTACAACATTTCCTCCCCCCACAGTAGTTATAGGACAGCCCCTCCATTGTACTCTACTATCTACTAATTGATCCCAGATAGGAGGAACAACTGTCCTCCATCTGAATCAAACATATGGAGGACAGGGGTTGGTGGTGGAAAATCATTATATATCTAACATAAAAGGTCCACTACAGCAACATAGGGACCCCCATGAGGCCTGTTTTCGAACTTAAGCTTGGCCTATACAATGGTACGTCGATGAAGGTTAGACATCCAGGTAATAAGATACGCCAAAAAGCAGTTACTCAAGCAACTGGATATGATTTTGGAACGTCAGACGTTTTAGCTAGTATCCACTAGCTTTCATCAGTGACTGAGAGACCAGAGGAGAAATGCAGGTTTATAAGCACAAACTGTTCATTGATATGCAAATAAAACGAAGACAATTTTTGGATGTCCAAAGGGGAACAAGAGTCAGACAAGTTAAGACAAGTTTATGCTAAGTCCGGAAGCTCCTGTTATGCAGAACAGGAGCTTAAGTGTTGTCTGTCCTCGGGGTTGGGAGCGCAAAAATTCCAGTGCCGGAGAGATCTACCCGTAGCCCCCCTTCCTTGTTGAGGGTGGGGTTGTACATCCTTTCATATGTTGCCTCTTCAACACCCCGTTCCCACCAGCGTGTTTCGCGGGCTAAAATATCTGTGGACTCGAGTTTGAAGGAGTGGCCCTGGTTGTGTTGTAGGTGGTGGAAAATGGCCGAGGAGTAGCTACAGAGGGAGAAACTTTCAGACGAGATTTTTGCTGAAACTAAGGAGTTCATAACACGTGGACAGCTAGCTCAGCACGAGAAGGGAAAAGACAGACAGAAGACCAAATTTGAACGTATACAGCAAAAGAAGACTATTAGCGCAGCAGATAGTGACCCAAATTGGAGATCAAACAGTTCTGAACCCAAAACCACTACACAGGCCAAAACAGACGAGAGGTGGGTTAAAAACCTAAGTAGCCATACTCTCACAGAACCAGAGAAATCACTGCTTTCTATAGGTGTAAACTTCGCAGTAACACCCAACAAGATTCCTAGCATCGACATTGTCACAGAAACCGAGTCAGCAATTCATCGGGCACGTTTACCATAGAGACAAGCTGAAGCACCTAAGTAGCTACCACCCTGAAAGTCTCCAAACCCCCTGCTAGTAATATTACACGGCAAGAGCGAGCCGCCCTCAAAGATTTGGCCACCAACCAAGACATATTGATTCTTCCGGCAAACAAGGGCAGATGCACAGTAGTCTTAGACAGGGAGCAGTACGACAGGAAGGTACAGGATCTCTTGGGAAACAAAGACACCTACATGCCACTGAAAAAGGACCCCACTAACAAGTTTAAAGTGGAAATCAGTACAGCTCTCAGGAAATTGCAAAATGAAGGAGTTCTGGATCGCGCCACCTACCTAAAACTCAACCCCACAACGGAACAATCCCCTGCTTTCTACGGCATTCCCGAAGTCCACAAACAAAGTGTCCCTCTACGACCTATAGTCTCCAGTATAGGCTCTGTCACCTATGAGTTACCGGGTTTTCTAGCCAAGATTTTGGGACCATTAGTGGGGAAATCTCAACACCATGTACAGAATAGTGCCGACTTTGTCAACAAGATTGAAGACATTCGTGTAGAGGATGATGAAACCATCACTTCGTATGACGTGTGCTCACTCTTCACCTCCATACCACCCAAGGAAGCAGTGTCAGTAGTCAGGGAAGCCTTGGAAGCCGACAACACTTGCAGATAGAACCAACCTATCCGTTGATCAAGTATGTGAACTATTAGAACTCTGCTCAGAATGCACATACTTTACCTACAAAGGACAGTTCTACCAACAGATTCATGGCTGTGCTATGGGATCTCCAGCTTCACTTATTGTTGTAAACCTGTACATGGAGAAGTTTGAAAACAAAGCCCTCAGCACTTTCAATGACACTTCCCCTGCCAACTGGTTTCGATATGTAGATGACACTTGGTGTAGATTGAAAAAGAGGGTAGCTGCTGATTTCTTTGACCACATAAACCAGATAGATGACAACATCAAGTTCACACAGGAGCCAAGTCATGACAACATCCTCCTTTTCCTAGACACCAAAACTGTAGTAGAGGAAGATGGCAACCTTCGTTTCGAAGTGTACAGGAAACCAACCCACACTGATCAATACATGGCTTTTGATTCCCTCCACCCTCTAGAACACAAATTAGCAGTGATCAAAACTCTCTTCCGTCGTGCAGACAACATTATCACTTCAGACCAAGCCAAAACGGACGAACATAAACACCTCCGAGGTGCCCTGGCTAAGTATGGCTACCAAAACTGGACTTTCAACAAAGCACTCAAACCTTCGAATCAGTCTAAGAAAACCCAGAAGTGCAAACCTTTGACAAACAAAAACAAAGTCAACATCACTATTCCGTATGTCCAAGGAGTATCTGAGAAACTTCGGCGGATCTTCCCAAACTTCAACATAGCCACTAATTTCAAACCTCACTCAACTCTCAGACAACGACTGGTACACCCTAAGGATCGACCTCACAAAGGTAGCAAGGCGAACATTTTTTACAGACTCAAATGTGAGGAGCCCAATTGCAACTACACCTACATCGGAGAGACGAGTCGGCCGCTCAAAGTAAGATACAAGGAACATTGCAGACCTAGTGCTAACGACTACTCCTCGGCCATTTTCCACCACCTACAACACAACCAGGGCCACTCCTTCAAACTCGAGTCCACAGATATTTTAGACCGCGAAACGCGCTGGTGGGAACGGGGTGTTCAAGAGGCAATATATGAAAGGATGTACAACCCCACCCTCAACAAGGAAGGGGGGCTACGGGAAGATCTCTCCGGCACTTGAGAATTGGCGCTCCCAACCCCGAGGACAGACAACACTTAAGCTCCTGTTCTGCATAACAGGAGCTTCCTGACTTAGCATAAACTTGTCTTAACTTGTCTGACTCTTGTTTCCTTTTGGACACCCAAAAATTGTCTTCATTTTATTTGCATATCAATGAAAAGTTTGTGCTTATAAACCTGCATTTCTCCTCTGGTCTCTCAGTCACTGATGAAAGCTAGTGGATACTAGCTGAAACGTCTGACGTTCCAAAATCATATCCAGTTGCTTGAGTAACTGCTTTTTGGCCTATACAATGGTAGTTTGCCTACCAAAAATCATGAACATCTATTAAAATATACTCGAGGTATTTTGTTAAGAAGTAACAAACAAAAAAGGTGCGCTAACGTAACGTACGGACCCCTCACAAAACCCAAACCTACACTTGGCGTCGGTCTTAACAATCGTATTCTGCCTGCAAAAAATCATGGACGTCGAATCATGCATTTCAGAGTTATATCGATAAATCCACAGTCACCCACACTCCGGCGAGACAAAACTATAGTCTTCTTGATGAAGACAATAAACAATGTTAGAAGGTAAACGCGTTATTTCGCAATATTGAAAAGATGGTGGACAGATATACAGAGTGTCTATCAACGAGCGCGCGCGTCGTGTTAGGATTTTCAGTTCAAAAATAACGCGTTAGATCCGTTAATCATCAAAGGTTATTGATAATTTCAGGCGTACAATGTCCGGCTCGGGCGGCCCCAGCTAACGGAGCGGTGACTCCTACCGGAGCGGTCTCCTACCCGAACGGGGTCACCTTCACCTGTAACTCGGGATACGTACGGAACGGCGCTGCCACTCCGACCTGCCAAGCTGACGGAACATGGAGTGATCCTGTTCCAACGTGCAATCGTAAGATGACTTTCAAGTATGTATGCTAACATTGAACTTCAGTAGTTTAGACAGATTCACCGTATGGTGAAGATGGTATTAGAAGGTAAATGCATTAATTAGCAATATCGAAAAGACGGTATACAGAATGTCTGGTTTTTGCGCATCTTCAGTACAAAATAAATCCTTGAATAAGATGTCAATTATAGGCGTGCAATGTCCGGGTCGGGCGGCCCCAGCTAACGGAGCGTTGACTTCTACCGGGATGGTCTTCTACCCGAACGGGGTCGTCTTTAGCTGTAACTCGGGATTCACACTGAACGGACAAGCTACTCCGACGTGCCAAGCTGACGGAACTTGGAGTCATCCTGTTCCAACATGCTCACGTAAGACGACTTTCATCCAAGTAATACAACACAATACCATACAATACAATACATATAGAATACAATACGGGGTATTCCGTATCGCCCGAGGTATCGGCCCGACCGCGAGTCGGATCGCCCGACGGCCGATACCCACCCAAGAAAACGTGCCTTTCAATGCAAAATGAGCCCAAGTTTGGTGTCCCTAAACTAAAAAGTGCAACGAAATTCATTCCAACGTCCGATTTCTGTGTTCGAATTTTTGAAAGCGGCTCACACGGTTAGGGCAAAACGCGTTTGAATCATCGTTCTATGTAACGTTCGATAACGGGTTCCGGACCAGTCCGTACCGTAAAGTACGGGCCGGTCCGGAACCCGTTATCGAACGTTATCGCGGCCCGGGTATGATATAACATACAATACAATATGAAGCATACGCCTAAGCATAAATAAATGCTGATAAAAAATAGACCATTTTCTTGACACGAGTACCTAGAGGCACCACATGTACGCATCATGTAGGCGTTTTTTCGCTCCATGTAACAATATGTGTCACACTTATTCCTGATCAGCATGAGTTAAGCAGCACCAGGTGGAATGAAGAATCGGCAAAATTGCGCAACAGGATGTTTCGAACGTCATTGGAATGCTCAGAATGGGGTTCTACTACTCAAACCACACTGTGCCCTTCGACATTTCCCACTTCGAGTTTACACACCTGGTTCACATGGAAAGTGCAAATATTTGAAATGTAGCGAAAATTTCTAGAATTCACATCAAATATTCAGAAATACTTAAGTATACCATTCAGATCACATCCCGGTTCATTGCGACTCTAATGCGAAGTGGGTATTAAGGGCTGTTAACCAAAACTGTTGAACTTTTTGCAGCGAGACAATGTCCGGCGTTGACGGCCCCACCGTTTGGAGTCCTGTGTCCTATCGGAGCTAGGTCCTACCAGGACACGGTCACCTTTGAATGTGACCAGGGATACACACTGAACGGCGCTACCTCTGCCACGTGCCAAGCAGACGAAACATGGAGTAATCCTGTTCCAACATGCACACGTGAGAAAACTTTGAGCTAATCATTATTTCTAGGCAAATGCAATTAATGCAGCTAAAACCGAGGAGTAAAGAATCTTATCAAAAGCTTTGTTCGGTCATATATATTTTTTTTATCTATTGCATTTTATTTATTAATTCTATAGTTAAAAGCCTCGCTCCTCGTTGTATATAATGGTATCCTTTTTACTGAGTATGACCACGCATCGGGGGCGAGCACTATTATAGCTGTTTATATTAGTGGTTTGCATAATAAACGAAGTGCCGAAATTCCCCTGCCCACAATTTGTTCTCCAGTTACAATTTACTGTCATTATTTCCCCATTGTAGCGGTACAATGTCCGGCTCGGGCGGCCCCAGCTAACGGAGCGGTGACTCCTACCGGAGCGGTCTCCTACCCGAACGGGGTCACCTTCACCTGTAACTCTGGATACACACTGAACGGCCAAGCTACACCTACCTGCCAAGCTGACGGAACGTGGAGTCATCCTGCTCCAACATGCCAAGGTAAGCTAACTTTAGAATGTATGAAAAAAGCGTCTATCAAAACGTACGCAGTTTGCCATATCTCTATCTGAACAGACTTGGGCCAACAGACATTGTTTTGGGCCCGGTCACATACGTCTGTAACCGCAAACTGAGGACATTGTTGGGATAGCCGTGCACGTGTCGTGCAAAAGTTATCAGTCTTGTTACAGAAATGCTGTCTAGGCAGTTTCTTCTGTCACAGCCTGCTTGAATTTTTTTTTTTTACAATCGGTATGTGTTAATACACGATGGCTACGAACTGATCGGTTCTGAGAACAGAATTTGCCAGGCCGACCAGACTTGGTCGGGCGTACAGCCAAATTGCAACAGTAAGTCGTCATTCTTAACAGTTTTGTTTTTATAGTGGTAGGTACTAGTGCCTTGTTGAGTTTCATTGCTCCAGTACGTTGTGACCACTCGTATTGTATTTGAAAACAAATATGTCTGACATGGAGCGTAGCCTTTCATTGTAGTAAAGCTACTTAGATTAAGGTCATCATGTGCGTTTTTTTTTTCAGGAAAAGCCTGCCAAGAGCTGCCGATTCTAAACAACGGCAACAGGACCGAGGGTCATCTTTACGGAGACACAGTCATCTTTTCCTGTAACGAAGGCTACGAACCTATCGGTTCTGAGAACAGAACTTGCCAGTCCGACCAGAGCTGGTCCGGTGTACAGCCAAATTGCTCTAGTAAGTGGCCATTCTTAACAGTTTTGTTTTTATAGTGGTAGTAACTTGTACCTCTTTTGGTTTCTTTGCTCCGGTACATTTTGACCACTCGTATTGTATTTGGAAATAAATATTTCTGACATTGAGCGTAGCCTTTCATAGTAGTGATGCTACTTAGGGCCATCATATTTGTTTTTTCAGGAAAAGCCTGCCCAGAACTGCCATTGCCAAACAACGGCAACAGGACGGAGGGTCATCTTTACGGAGACACAGTCACCTTTTCCTGTAACAAAGGCTACGAACCTATCGGTTCTGAGAACAGAACCTGCCAGTCTGACCAGAGCTGGTCCGGTGTACAGCCAAATTGCTCTAGTAAGTGGCCATTCTTAACAGTTTTGTTTTTATAGTGGTAGTAACTTGTACCTCTTTTGGTTTCTTTGCTCCGGTACATTGGACCACTCGTATTGTATTTGGAAATAAATATTTCTGACATTGAGCGTAGCCTTTCATAGTAGTGATGCTACTTAGGGCCATCATATTTGCTTTTTCAGGAAAAGCCTGCCCAGAACTGCCATTGCCAAACAACGGCAACAGGACAGAGGGTTATCTTTACGGAGACACAGTCACCTTTTCCTGTGACGATGGCTACGAACTGATCGGTTCTGAAAACAGAACTTGCAAGGCTGACCAGAGCTGGTCGGGTGTACAGACCAATTGCTCTAGTAAGTGGCCATTATTAACAGTTTTGTTTCCATATTGGTAGTAACTAGTACCTCGTTTGGTTTCATTGCTCCAGTACATTGTGACCACTCGTATTTTATTTGGCAACAGGTATGTTTAACATGGAGCATAGCCTTTTATACCTAGTAAAACTACTCATTAGGGTCATATACTTTTTTCCAGGAAAAGCCTGCACAGAGCTGCCATTGCTAAACCATGGCAAGAGGACCGAGGGTTATCTTTACGGAGACACAGTCACCTTTTCCTGTAACGATGGCTACGAACTGATCGGTTCGAAAAACAGAACTTGCCAGGCCGACCAGAGCTGGTCGGGTGTACAGCCCAATTGCTCTAGTAAGTAGTAATTTCTGACAGTCTCGTGGTCATAGTGGTCGGTACTTTTCGTGTTTTCTTGCTCAAGTGATTGTGGCCGGTGTTGACTTTATGGTGTTGTATTTGGTAATACATATGTCTGGAGAGCTACTTGGGATCTTATGCGTTTTCAGGAAAAGCCTGCCCAGAGCTGCCGATTCTAAACAACGGCAACAGGACCGAGAGTCATCTTTACGGAGACATAGTCAACTTTTCCTGTGACGAAGGCTACGAACTGATCGGTTCTGAAAACAGAACTTGCCAGGCCGACCAGAGCTGGTCGGGTGTACAGCCCAATTGCAGCAGTTAGTGGTCATTCTTAACAGTTTTGTTTTCATAGCGGTAGGTACTAGTGCCTTATTGAGTTTCATTGCTCCAGTAGATTGTGACCACTCGTATTGTATTTGGAAAAAAATATGTCTGACATGGAGCGTAGCCTTTAATACTTGTAAAGCTACTTAAATTAAGGCCATCATGTGCGTTTTTTTAGGAAAAGCCTGTCCAGAGCTGCCGATTCTAAACAACGGCAACAGGACCGAGGGTCATCTTTACGGAGACACAGTCATCTTTTCCTGTGACGAAGGCTACCAACTGATCGGTTCTGAAAACAGAACTTGCCAGGACAACCAGACTTGGTCGGGTGCACAGACCAATTGCTCCAGTAAGTGACAATTTTAACAGTGGTGTTTTCATATATAGTGGCAGGTACCTTCTTGGGTTTCTTTGCTCCAGTACATTGTGACCACTCTCGACTTTATGGTATTGTATATGGCAATCCGTATGTCCCAGATTGCACATAGCCTTTCATAACTAAAGGATCATATGCGTCTTTTTAGGAAAAGCCTGCCCAGAGTTACCGCTTCCAGACCACGCCACCAGGACAGAGGGTCATCTGTACGGAGACACAGTCACCTTTTCCTGTGACGAAGGATACGAACTGATCGGTTCTGAAAACAGAACTTGCCAGGCCAACCAGACTTGGTCGGGTGTACAGCCTAATTGCAACAGTAAGTATAAGTAACCCCCTTCGACATCATTGTCTTGTATCGGAATTGATTATCTGTTTGCAAAGTTTTCATTACACCTAATAATGGTCTTTAACAGCACTTATCGTATCAATTGCTTCCTGCTCATGTCCTAGACCACAATGTTGGTGACAAAAATCGCTACAAGCCAGGGAAATTAATTTACGTGTTGTATTATTTGTAGTAGTGTGTGGTTGATTACTGTCCCATAAAAGATATTAATATCTGACATCAGTGTTTAACCGTCTTACAGAAAAGCTCTGCCAACAAATGATGGCACCTTCTAACGGCAACATCAGCGGCGGTAGTTCTTATGGGGACGTCGTTACGTATCACTGTGACCCTGGATACGAGATCAGTGGTGATAAACAACGAACATGCCAGTCGGACCAGACCTGGAGTGCTACAGAGCCTACATGCGTTGGTAAGTTGCTATTTTATGGCTAAGCTGTTACATTTTTTACATTCTCCAATGTTGGACATTGGCAGGCCTCTATTTATAACTTCACTTCGTCCATACATATCGAGTTATTAGCTATGCACGGATCAACAAGGTTTGCAACGCACCAGCAACGCTTTCATGCGATGACGATGACTGGTTCTTCAGGTCCGAAGATCTAAAAGTGCAGGTCCTCAAGTTGCTGTGTAGTCTAGTTCTAGTTCTGCACGTTCTGCTGCAGGGTGGGCATGCGAAGCACTATATCCGGTTGGCAATTCATTGCACGATCAAAAGGACAAAACTGAAATATGCACTAAACATTATCCACACATCCTCCCTCTAGCTCTATGACACTCATACCCAAATCATGGTTTAATGTATGTGATGAATTTCAAAGAATGATATATGTCCAACTTCTTTCCTTGTGATCAAATGTATTTTGACAGATTGCGTCCCTGACATCAGCCTGTCTGGAGGAGGAAGCAGTGGATCCTCAGCAGTGAAGATCGCGCGGCGGACAGCCTTCACCATACGGAGCCGCATCAACGTCATCTGCAGTCAGACCTACCGCGTCACATATGAGTGGAACATTTTCCAACATGACCCAATGGGTAACGTAGTGCAGATACCGGACTTTCCTAACAAAGTCGTGCGTGATTCGCAAGACATCACAATTCCGGGAAACAGCTTGGGCTATGGCTTCACGTTTGTTGAGCTGAACGCTACCATGGACTTTCCGACTACTGGAAATAAAAAGTCAAAGGTACAAAAACAGTGGTTTGTCATCACACCATCGGCCCCTGTTGCGTATATAGCCGGTGGCTCGGCTAAATCTGTCAGTCGGGATGGTGTTCTGGTACTGAACGCATCAGAGTCGTATGATCCGGATGAATACATCGACGACCTTAGGAACTTCACTTTTCATTGGACCTGTCAAACGATTAATGGTAAGTCTCTCACGATGACTCACAAATTATTAAGGCACGAATGAATAAAGATTTGAACTGAAGGTCGGAACCATTTCTTCTGATATGAGCGGTTGACATTAACTTAACGTATTAACTTTGATTGATACCATATGGCAGCCATGGTCCGGAATGGACGTAATTATTGGTAGCACTAAAACTCGATCGCTTTTATATATCGATAACTGTTTTGTAGGGACATCATGCAACGACATATTCCCAGATGCCAGACAAAGTGACGCTGAATATGAACTTCAGACTGCGTCATTTTCTAATGGTGTCGACACCGTGACATTCACGGTCGAGGTCGGCCTTCCCGGGAGGAACTCCTCACGGACCTCACAGTCAGTCACCCTACTAGACGGGGTTGTCCTCAACATCGCCATTCGGTAAGACGTGTTCTCTGCATTATAGAGCTAAGGTGTGCTTCTTCTTGTTTGTCTTCTTATCGCCCAAAAACTTGATGAAGATATGTAGGAACTGTGCTTACCATCTCACAGGGAGTACGCATTAATTCATTAATTCTTTATTTCAGGTATGAGAAACCTATAAAAGACGATTCATATTAAAAGGATACGTGCTACAAACACACACAAATTGACATATATGCAGTATCTAATGAACTGATGCTTAATAATGCGTGACTTCCATCAGTGTTTTTAGTGGTACTTTTTGGTAATCCCATAGGTGTGCTGCAAACTGTGAAACCAAAGTCAGCCCATCTGAGAGGCTAGTTCTCGTGACCCAGTGTGACGACTGCCCGACAGCAAACACCACATACCTCTGGACCCTGACGGGAGACAAGCACATCGACTGGGATGTGGACACGACAACCGGAAACACGTCACCGAACCTAGTGGTTCGAAGTAACATTTTTGAGGTACCGTCCTTTACGTATGTCTTCATTCAATTTGGCTTAATCCTTGTAATAATACTAGTATTAGTACATTCATTCATTTAGTGATTCAGTCAGTACATGATGAGTACGATTCACGGTTAGCAGATAGTATAGTCTAGACTATTTTGATTTAATAATCTCTGTCCTGTTCCAGGCAGGGGAAAGCTACACCTTCCGGATTAATGTGACTTCCAACGTCGCACCTGGGGGAACCGGTTTTTCTGAGCACAGTTTCAGAGTCAACAAACCCCCTACAATCGGGTCCTGTGCGGTCAGTCCTTTGTCAGGTTTTTCAACGATAACGCAGTTTGACATCTGGTGCAAAGGTAAATCAAACCCCCAAACGTTCAGCACAAATCATTTGGTATTTAAGTATTCTCAAAGGGAAACATAATGCATTCTCATAATGCTATTATTACGGGTTGCAATTGGTTTCTTCCTCAGGAGCCGACGATGATGATGTGCCCCTGGTCTACAGTCTTTATTTTAACAACGATGTGGGTGACAACGCCTACACATTGCTCCATACGGGAACGGTAGATACCCACGTCTTTCTATGTTGTATGTAGACTATATGGCACATGTTCCATGTAAGACATCACGAATCTAGCGGGGCGCGCATCCAGGCGCGCGGGGTATCTCGCGCCCACTTCCCGATCGTATTTGCCATGCCTGCCCGGTATCACTGCGCCCAGTGCGTACCGGTGCGTACCAGTGCATACGAGTGCGCCCAGTGCGTACCAGTGCGCCCAGTGCGTACCAGTGCGTACCAGTGCGTACCAGTGGAAAAGAATGTGAAAGAACACCCGTCACCCAAATCACGAAATCGCCAGGACACGTAACCAAAGTTTCGGGGCGTTGCGTAAGCCATCACGAAACCGCCGGCGAATGCACTTGGGTACATGGCGCCAGCGTTGACACAACCCGACACGACAGCGTTCGAGCGTGCGGCAGACACTGTGCGACGCATCACGACCGGCAACGCATCACGAATTTTGCGGGACACGCCAGACTTGCAATCCGAGTGATGCTGCGCCGGATTTCGATAGACGTTCGTAACTGCTGTCATGAAATCGCCGGCAAACGCATCACTTATTTGCGGGAAACGCCAAACTTGCAATCCGAGTGATGCGGCGCCGGATTTCGATAGACGTTCGCGACGCATCACGACCGGCAACGCATCACGAATATGCGGGACACGCCAGACTTGAAAACTGAGTGATGCTGCGCCGGAGTTCGATAGGCGTTCGTGACTGCTGTCACGAGATCGCCGGCAAACGCACCTCACGGGTACAGTACTGCGTCGGTACACGGCGCCAGCGTGTACAAATCCCGATACAAAGGCGTCCGAGCGTGAGGTAGGCACGACATTCGACGCATCATGGCCGGCAACGCATCAAGATTCTGCGTAACAGGCACGGCCTGTCGACCGAGCGACAAATGCTTCATATTGACACGAAGAAAAGAGTTTGGGCTGCTGTAGTGAAGTCACTGTAGTCAGTGTAGTGAAGAACACCGAGAGGTCACAGAAATGGGAAGCCCGATTTTGTAGTGGTAGTACCTGTAGTATCTGTAGTCAGGATGATAAAGAAAAGAGTTTGGGCTGCTGTAGTGAAGTCACTGTAGTCAGTGTAGTGAAGAATACCGAGAGGTCACAGAAATGGGAAGCCCGATTGATTTTGTTGTGGTAGTACCTGTAGTACCTGTAGCCAGGACTGTTAGAAGCACGAGGAAAAGCGTTTGGGCTGCTGTGGTGAAGTCACTGTAGTCAGTGTAGTGAAGAATACCGAGATGTCACAGAAATGGAACAAGCCCGATTTTTAGTGGTAGTACCTGTAGTATCTGTAGTCAGGATGATGAAGAAAAGAGTTTGGACTGCTGTAGTGAAGTCACTGTAGTCAGTGTAGTGAAGAATACCAAGAGGTGACAGAAATGGGAAGCCCGATTTAGTAGTGGTAGTACCTGTAGTATCTGTAGTCAGGATGATGAAGGAAAGTGTTTGGGCTGCTGTAGTGAAGTCACTGTAGTCAGTGTAGTGAAGAACACCGAGAGGTGACAGAAATGGGAAGCCCGATTTAGTAGTGGTAGTACCTGTAGTATCTGTAGTCAGGATGATGAAGAAAAGAGTTTGGGCAGCTGTAGTGAAGTCACTGTAGTCAGTGTAGTGAAGAATACCCTGAGGTGACAGAAATGGGAAGCCCGATTTTTAGTGGTAGTACCTGTAGTATCTGTAGTCAGGATGATGAAGAAAAGAGTTTGGGCTGCTGTAGTGAAGTCACTGTAGTCAGTGTAGTGAAGAATACCGAGAGGTGACAGAAATGGAACAAGCCCGATTTTGTAGTGGTAGTACCTGTAGTCAGGACTGTTAGAAACATAAAGTGTATGGGCTGCCGTAGTGAAGTCACTGTAGTCAGTGTAGTGAAGAATAGTGAGATATAGAGGTCACATAAACGCGAGACGGTCTTTTGAAGTCGTAGTCGGTGTACTCACGGTAGTCAGACCCATTGTTAAGATGACAAAATCGGTCTCAACCTTCCGTACTTGCATCTGAGTGCTGTCTACGCACAAAAACGTGGGCAATCGTAGGGATCCGTAAGTGGTGAGTATCGCCTCCGTACTGAATCCTACGTATTTGGGAGCACGCAGACACGCCGTAGAACTTTAAGTGCATGTAAAACTTTCTCTGCGTGCGGTTTGCGGATTCACCACCCGTACGTGCGAGTACGGGCGACGCGCGTTCCCCGTACAATCTATCACGGGGCGTACAATGCACTGACTTTGTGAACTGTTCTCACGGACAGCGCATGTAGCACATCCCAATTCACCAGCTCAATGACACAGAACACACGTGCACTGTACCAATTTCTCCGCACGTACAACGCACGTGAAACGCACCTGATTTCTACAGTATATAAAGACGACTTGATGAAAGTCTTTTGGAAAAAAACGCTCATCGTTTAGCGATTTCCCATTTTTGAGCCAAAAATGCTTTTTCGCTGTCAGATATGCAAATTATGCTGAAACATCACCAATTTGCATACATGATGTCGGTGGGTCATTGCGCACCTGAAGAATGTATTTTGGAAAAAAACGCTCATCGTTTAGCGATTTCCCATTTTTGAGCCAAAATTGCCTTTTCGGTCTTATTTAGCAGGGGCGCACCCCTATTTAAAGCTTTAGATAGGGACGTGCTCCTAAATAATGCTTTATTCAGAGGCGCGCCCCTATCTAAAGCTTTATTTATTGGCGTGCCCTATTTAAAGCTTTATTCAGGGGTGCACCCCTATTTAAAGCTTTATTCAGGGACGCGCCCCTACATAAGGCTTTATTCAGAGGAGCGCCCCTATTGATAGCTTTATTCATTGGCGTGCCCCTATTTAAAGCTTTATTCAGGGACGCGCCCCTAAATAAGGCTTTATTCATTGGCGTGCCCCTATTTAAAGCTTTTTTCAGGGACGCGCCCCTAAATAAGGCTTTATTCAGGGACGCGCCCCTAAAGCTAAGGTCCCAATTGGGAAAAGGGGCCCTGGCGGGTAGTTCCCGGGCTGTTTTTACCACTTTCGGGCGGGACCCCGACGTGGCCCCACGGGGCACCCTGCGGCTACCGGGATATTTTTTGGCCCGTCGGGGCCCCGATAAGAATTTAATTCTGAGTTAAATTCTACCCGGGCCCCGCTAACAACAAGACGCCGTGACCTCATCGTGAGAACACCGGGAGGTACCCCTCCGGTTGCCGGCATTCCACCGGGACACATTTCCTACGTCACAGACCAGATGAACAGAATAAAGGTGTGTACTTCGTAAACCCGGGTAAAATGTGTGACCTCACAGATCAAATGATCACAACAAATACGTGAATTCTGCATTACGTATAGGTCAATACAAGACATCGTCAGAGAATCTGCTGGGTACCTGCCGGGTGCCTGCCGGATACCGACCAAAGAGGGTGACAAAATTTCTAACACAATGCTACTGAAGGAAACTTTTAATTGTGACCACGACAGACGATGCCCGCTCGACTCCTGAACCCGGCCTGGGCCAGCCGGGGCTACATCCCCGACGGGCACCGGCGTAATTGGGACCTTAGCTTAAATAAGGTTTTATTCAGGGGCGCGCCCCTAATTACAGCTTTATTCAGGGACGCACCCCTATTTATAGCTTTATTCAGGGGCGCGTCCCTATTTAAAGCTTTATTCAGTAGCGCGCCCCTATTTACAGCTTTATTCAGGGTTGCCCCCCAGTGTACGCTTTAAACAAGGGAACAGCTTTGCGAAATCCTTGCGGGATGCATAGACAACCCATTGTTATGTATTTTATTTCTTTGGATTTAGACAGTGAGTTAAACATTTACTAAAATTTACCGTGTAAATATATGTTATATGTGGGTAAATATTGCACATCATATTTACCAGCGATTATTACAACTTGGATAAAGTAATTACACATTTAGGTGAATCCCACTTTTCTTGCAGTGTGACTGACAGATAGATAGTATATATTTATGGACAGATCTTTTGGCTTCTTGATTTAAATGTTATCAACAGTTTATTATTTTTACAAATCCAAGGTATAAATTACAAGATATCATGTCAATATTAACTTGCATTGGCCCACTCAACTGTCACTACTGGTAAAAGCCCGTTTCACTTTTCTGTGACCTCTCAGTATTCTTCACTACAGTCTGACTACAGTGTCTTAACCACAGCAGCCCAAACTCTTCATGTTTCTAACAGTTATGACTACAGATACTACCACTACAAAGTCAGGCTTCCCATATCTGTCACCTCTCGCGGTATTCTTCACTACACTGACTACACTGACTTCACTTCAGCAGCCCAAACTCTTTTCTTCATGTTTCTAACAGTCCTGACTACAGATACTACAGGTACTACCACTACAAAATCGGGCTTCCCATTTCTGTGACCTCTCGGTATTCTTCACTACACTGACTACAGTGACTTCACTACAGCAGCCCAAATTCTTTTCTTCATCATCCTGACTACAGATACTACAGGTACTACCACTACAAAATCGGGCTTCCCATATCTGTCACCTCTCGCGGTATTCTTCACTACACTGACTACAGTGACTTCACTACAGCAGCCCAAATTCTTTTCTTCATCATCCTGACTACAGATACTACAGGTACTACCACTACAAAATCGGGCTTCCCATATCTGTCACCTCTCGCGGTATTCTTCACTACACTGACTACAGTGACTTCACTACAGCAGCCCAAATTCTTTTCTTCATCATCCTGACTACAGATACTACAGGTACTGCCACTACAAAATCGGGCTTCCCATATCTGTCACCTCTCGCGGTATTCTTCACTACACTGACTACAGTGACTTCACTACGGCAGCCTAAACTGGCGCCGTGTACCGACGCAGTGTACCCGTGAGGTGCGTTTGCCGGCGATTTCGTGATAGCAGTCACGAACGCCTATCGAAATCCGGCGCAGCATCACTCGGTTTGCAAGTCTGGCGTGTCCCGCATATTCGTGATGCGTTGCCGGTCGTAATGCGTCGCGAACGTCTATCGCAATTTCGGCGCAGCATCACTCGGATTGCAAGTCTGGCGTGTCCCGCAAAATTCGTGATGCGTTGCTGGTCGTGATGCGTCGCACATTGTGTCTGCCGCACGCTCGGACGCTGTCGTGTCGGGTTGTGTCAACGCTGGCGCCGTGTACCCAAGTGCATTCGCCGGCGGATTCGCGATAGCTTACACGAACGCTACGCCGCGAAACTATGGTTACGTGTCCTGGCGATTTCGTGATTTGGGTGACGGGTGTTCTTGTGATATTTCACATTCTATGCCACTGGTACGCACTGGGCGCACTGGTACGCACTGGGCGCACTCGTATGCACTGGTACGCACTGGTACGCACTGGGCGCAGTGATACCGGGCAGGCATGGCAAATACGATCGGGAAGTGAGCGCGAAGAACCCCGCGCGCCTGGATGCGCGCCCCGCTAAATTCGTGATGTCTTACATGGAACATGTGCCCTATATAATAATTATCTATTTATCCTTTCGTTTATGTTCTCCCATGTCTCCGGGTGCTATATTATTCATTCTCCACATATATTCACTTAATTCGATACATTTATCGCAAATTCTTCATGTACATAGCAATATTGTTCAACCTAACTGTTCTGGACTTAGGTTCGAACGTAGACCCTGTCGTAATCTGAACAGTAATGGTACGCAATCCGACAATCAAGCATGCTGCTCAGTTTTTACCGTCCTACTACGCTGTGCTACTCCCAAAAGTAGCCATCTACTATGTTGTTTTAAAGCCCATGTGTTTTAGTGTAAATAAAAGAAGCAGGCAGATAGGATACCCAATCATATCATTGATGAATTCCCTGCTTTCGTCGCAGACCGAACAATTTCGACCCCAGCTTCTTCCAGCGGGACAGGAACATCGCGACTTCAACGTCACACTAGAAGTTCGTGTATCGGATGCTTTGGGTGCAACATCAATTATCAGAAATATCAAAGTACAGGTAAAGTTGAAGCTGTGATGGTAAGATGATGTGATGTGAGATTTATGTGCAAGTTTATTCCGAATGCCAACCATTCAAGGGTATGTTCCAATAGGAGAGTTTTGTCATGAAGGCGAGTGTAACTTTACTCTAACTAAAAATGATTGTACTCGACACCATTGCGTCAGAATGTATTTGTTTCGTTTCAATTTATTGTAAAAGTAGTGATACAACAATTTAAGCCGACTAATGATGGTTGAAGCTCGACCTGAATTCATGCACAGTCATCACAGAGCTTTCAAAATTATTGAAAAATTTCTATCTTACTCACCCAAAAACATTTGTCTTTAATCTTTTTTCCATCCTTCTGTTGTAAGGTCCGTCAACCGAGTGTGGAAGATACGGAAGCGAAGCTCAGCAGCCTTGACGATACGCTGGAGAATCTACTTGACAATGGGGACAACGGCGGGCTCCTTCAGCTCACCAACAGTCTCAGTTCTGTCCTCAACGCAGCAAACACATCCAGCTACAGCGACGATACACTTTCAAAGGTACCCTGGAAATGAAGCTGATTGTTACAGTCCTTTCCGCCATCGGATGTCCCCTATGCTGGGCAAGGATAGATTGTAAAATGAACTATGTTTAAACTATGTTGGTATCGAGTTTTGAAGAAAACTTACCACTTGCCATGCAGCTATTGTACTATACGATATTTAATTATAACAGCCGATAGCCTGTTAGCCTGTTAGCGTTTGTTTGTTACAATATCAATTTTTCAGATTCTGCTCTTTCACTCTATCCTTATTTTCTATACGTTTTTACTTTTATATTCAGGCACGTGACGGACTTATTAACTCAATGACAAAGATTCCAGTTCAGAGTCTGGACAACGTCGACCAGGTGGCTGGTGCCTTGGGCCTGGCAACGGCTTTGGAGGAACAGGTTACTCCACAATCTCAGGTTTGTGTTTACCGACACAACTCCAGCTTATCCATAGCATGTGTGTATAGTCAAACCCGTTCATAGCGACCACCTGACGGGCTTGTCAAAAATTGAAACAATGGACAGGATACAAGAGGCCATGACCAGGTAGTCATTATGCACTGAAGCTCGATAAAACATGTTGGACTCTACACATGCTGCTTACATATTTTTACAATTAAATGTAAAGGCTAATGACAATTTACCATAACGTTTCATGTACATATGTGAACCATAAAGTGTGGAATGTTATTGGGTTTTTTTCAGGAGACTGCAGCTAAAACTGTGCTGCAGATGTCAAACTTTCTTGATACACCCGAAAGAGAAGATGTAGGTCCCGAAAGACTGGAGGAAACGGCATCGGTTCTTTTGAGAGGCAAGCGCACGTTTGCTCTTATCTTCAAATCATGGCAATTGGGTTTTGACGTCTTATTTAGGTAGGGTCTGTATGTATATATAATATGTATATATTACTCATAGATGACCTATTTTTTTTCTGTTTGGTCCAACAGCTTGTGTGAACATACTTCGAGCTTCAACAGCCTCTGCTACAAAGAGCAAAGAACCGCCATCATCTGAAACAAGAGGCCGTCGCTTGGACAAGGTGGGAACAACTTTCATTATACTATCAAATTACGTTTTGGTTTCTTACTGCTTTTTATTCCCCAAGAGACACTACACTGGATATTTAGTAGTAATTTAAAGAAGTTCCTATCTGGATACTGACGGGAGGTTTTTTGTTTGTTACAATAATTGCATATTGGAAAATAATTGCCAAGGTTTCAAGGGGCGCCGTATCTTCACATTTCTAATTTGCAAACGTCTCGTTTACAGAACAAAATTGCCACACAGACAACTTTTAATGCAATCGGGAAGTTGAATGTTGCCGTACTAGACCGGAAAGTCCCGGGGGAGAGCCCGACGACGTTCTCTGTCGGTGAATTTAACTTGGCCGTTGAAAAACAGCGGTGTGATTCTACCAACGGACAACCGCAGGTTTTCCGGGCAAATGACCAACTGGGAAGCTCTACGTTTTTCGTGGTACCCAGCTTGTCAGGGTTGCTTGGGGACAGCTGTGAAACAAAGGAAGACGTCGGAATAGAGGTTGGGATATAGATTCTTATTAAGATGGTTTTCTTTGCTGGTGCTAGATTTTTAATCACCCACTCCTTTACTCCAGCCAGTGAGAGATTGTGTATTAAAACACAGCCTAGGTATCTGTGTAGTTAGCTCATGTAAGGATCATCTGAGTTTTCATCTCAACCAATCCATTTTTATGTTTTCAAGAATTTCAAGACACCGCGGAACCCTTATGCCTTTACCAACACTTCTGACGATGTCAAGTCGGAAGTAGGAGGGCTACAGTTCTTGCGGAATGGCAGGCCTTTGGAGATCCGCGACTTAACAGATCCTGTGGAGGTTTTCACCCGACGCTTGTCGGAGTCATCCCAGAATGGACGAATAATGACCGAGCTAGGAAGGACAGCACCATCTGGGAGCAACGCAATACGTGTAACTATGCGATCTTTTACTTCTAGAATTACTAATTACCCCAAAAAGATTTCTGGCCAGTACTGTTTTGCCTACCGTAAAAAGTCTACAAAGGCATGTTTGTTGTACAAACGATTAGACCATCCTTCCTAGACTCATTTAAGGTATAATTCCGATTGCCCGTTTCGTCTCCAACAAAAAAGGATATTATTACTAGTACATAGCCCTAAATTTCGCTGTTCACTTTTTCAGCGACCCATCAAGTAGACCCATATATACATTCTCATGGTTGCATTTCCGGTAAATGATGCTTGTTATTTTACAGACTCACCAGTTCAACATGACTGAGGGGAGGTCCCTGCACCTCACCGTGACGCCTCATCTGGTGAATGTGTCTGTCCGACTGTACCTGAAGCGAGGGGACGAACCACGCCGGATTGACGAGTTCGACAGGAACACAACATTGCCACTATCAGGTTTATATCTGTATCTCCATACACAGCCGGTATAATTGCCCTTCGGCGTAACACGCCAGCTTCGCGGGCACGCGGCGCGGCGGCAGCTAGCTGTACTTCATCGAAAAACTTTTTACATCAGTCCTAACTTTTTAACATCAAACTCTATACAATGTTTACATCTGCCAAATTGTAATAACTGTATAGCATGTACTGTATTTGGTTACTTCTAAGAGTACAGAACTGTTGTGGGTGGAAAAGCACGCCAGCTTTGCACGTAGACGACTTTGACAAACTTCAAATTTACATAGAATTACAAAAACGTGATGTTCATGTAATAATATACAGATGACGCTGACCTGTTCACCCTGTCACTGGGCACAACTGAAACCATGACAGCTGACCGGTGGACGTGGTTCATACCCGGAAATGACGTAGACTCTACGGAACCAATGGAGTACACGCACTACCTAGGTATTAACGCACACACCATTCAAAATCCTACATGGCTATAAAATGTATTTTGTGTAAAATTGTATAAATAAGAAAGTGCGGCATTCTAGTTCTAATTCACATATTATGCATGTATCAAAACCTCCTTACACAGTGCAAATATTTCACAACAAAAGTGGGTTAGTAATCACCAGAATGTTGGGTTCAGAACCAGGCCTTGAGGTCCAGGTTCGAATCCTGCCATCATTAACCGAGCCTTGAGGTCCTAGGTTCAAATCCTGCCGATCTTGTGCTCATGAGCAAGACACTCAAAGAATTAGAAATAGCAGCCTTAGTAAACCATTATTACCCTATTGAGCCAGTTAGTCAAGCTTGCCTGCGGAGGAGAAATATTGCATTGCGAAGTGGCATGTGTGGCTTGGCACTGAGCAAACTCGTTAAAACATGTCTTTCTACACAATTTAGGGGTGGAGCACGTACCGCATACTGAACAAGGCGATGTAAGCCCCTCGGTTTCTCCTGAGGATCGGGGAGAGAACTTCACCCTGAACTACACACTTCAGATCTACTCCACACAATGCCTCTACTTCAACGAGGAGAGAGAAGATTTCGAATCAGACGGTTGCCAGGTTTGTGTTCTCCGAAAAAAAAAACATGGATATCATAATATCGCTATGATAAAATAAGCGATTAAGCAAACCTCTGTCAAAAGCCTGTATCATGTAATCAAAATACAAAAACAACATTTGAGGATGATAACATAGAGGTTGTTTTTTCTTTCATTCCGATTCCTTGTCCATGTACAGCCCGGTCCTCTCAGCAGCGCCGCTTTGTCCCACTGCCGGTGCAACCATCTGACAGCGTTTGGGTCCGGCTTTACTTTCTTCGTCGCGCCGAACAAACTCAACATCCTCGAAGCGCTTCAAACACGTAAGAGCAAACAACACACATCTAATGCAACCCCCCAAACACCCAATGATCGCCATAAAAGGTATTAAAAATATCCAGTAAAAGGTGAACACCTCTTAGGGCTCATTCAAGCTCATTCATTCATATTACACGTACGGACATCAGCTCAGATATCTCAGGATTGAGGACCTGAAAGAAGTGCCGCCAAGGCCTCTATCTGCATTCATGTCATTTCGTAACTGGAATCAAATTTTTTTCCTGACTGCAATATAACATCCCTTCATTAGTGAACATAAGGGAGAACCCAGTCGTTGTTATCGCGGTCAGCGTTCTGTTCGGGATCTACATCCTCGTGGTGATCTGGGCCCGGCGAAAAGACACACAAGATTCAAAGAAGGTATGCGAACCACGATAGCGCTGCGTTCAGGTTTTTCTTAGAGATCGTTTCTTCATCATGACATCATCATCATCACTGCAAAGTTAAATCGTTTAAATCATATCATAAAGCTTTATTCTTTACAGACAGTATAGCAATGCATACTTCCTGAAAATCGATGTGGGGACCCGAAAGGCTTTACATTGGTGAAAGCAGGAAGGCATTTACGTACAATTTGTCCATCTGGCTGTGAGTTATGGAATTGTATATAGTTACCTACGAATTACTGGGAATAGATTAGCTTCCCTAGCCCATGCGGAACATGAAATCGCCCCCTATGTCAGCCTTCTGCATGTAACACCGCGGTATGTAACAGTAGTTATATCCCTCTGCTATGTTTTCCTAGGTTGGGGCAACGATCCTTCGCGGAGATCAGGGACGTTTTCACGATCACTTCTACCAGATCACAGTTCTGACGGGATCGAGATCCGAGTCGTCCACATCTGCCAGGGTAAGTATCATACGCCTTTCTTTACTAGAACATTTTTACATTTATAGCTATTGTCATTTTATGTTGTTATCGAAGTGGTATCTTTTAGGATATAAGATGCACCATCTCATATATGCCCTGTCCATTTGGCATTCAAACACTACCAAAACATCTCTCAATAGGTCTTTATGACGCTGATGGGAGAGGGGGGCACCTCTGGACCACATGAACTGGAGGACCGTGATCGCGTGATTTTCCGGGAGGGAGGTGTAGACACTTTCATCCTGCCGACAAGTCGTCACCTGGGATCCTTGTACGCCGTGCATGTCTGGCATGACAACACAGGACCTTGCCCATCATGGCGAGTACTTTGGACTGAGTAGCATCTGATCTCATATCTGATCTTATCAATGACTACCCGGAATTATCATCAATACAAAGTCCAAACATTTGCAGACCATTAAACACGCATTGATATATTTGCCTACACTAAACCACAACTTGTCACGCCATTAGTCTCTCTCATGTGTTTGTTGCCCACTGTTGTGCGCTGTATCTTATTCCGTTGTCGTTGTTTGTCCAATCCACAGGTTCCTGGACAAAATCATCCTGCAAGACCTTAGCGATGACAAGAAGTACTCTTTTCTGTGCCAGAGGAAATGTTCAAAGATTTATACGTCTAAAACTTAGAAAGAGCAGAATTTTACAATATGATTACACGACATGAAGACAAAGGGTGGACTAAGGTTATTAGACACGCCAAGTGATATGTTTCTAGTTTTCTCTACTCTATCCCGTGTCTGAAGCATGTAATTGAAATGCAGTTTTTGTTGCGCATCACAGATGGTTAGCTGTGGAGGAAGGCGACGGAAGGGTGGACTGTTTGCTCACGTCGGCTACCGACGAACAACTGTCGACCCTTAGGCACGTCTTTGGGTCACGAACATCCAAGGTACAGTCATGGGATCATATTTTAACCATCCATCCAAAAGTACTGCAAAAATATCTATGTGTTTTCATTATATTCTCTTGCTAAAGTCTGTGTAAGTTGGGGACCCATACCCACCCATGTATATGGTATTATGACAGTCTTGTGGCAATGCTTTTCCTCAGGTGTTTGATATTGTCTACAGTAGAACCCTCCGTGTCATTCCTGTTATGGATTTCCTACAATAATGATTCATTCCGTGTTCCAAAGGCCTTCAATGATGGTCACCTGTGGGCTTCGGTGCTGGGACGACCTGCCTACAGTCCCTTCACTCGTGTCCAGCGGGTGTCCTGTTGCCTCTCCCTCTTACTCTGCACCATGGTCACCAACATCGCGTTCTTTCAACGGGAAAATGACTTCAGCAAGCCTCCTCCGATCGACATCCTTGGTTTCAAAGTACAGATCCCGATGTCGTGGGCCCAGGTACCAATGTTTTCCATGTTAGAAAAAGAAAAATGACAAACTGGGTGTGTTTGAGAGGCAGCTGCCTCAAAGTTTAGTGGATGTATAGAATATGTCAATCAATCCAGCTAACTATAAAACTTAACAATATATTTGCAATTAAAAAAACTGAAATGACAGATATGATTCATGACTTATTGATTTCACACTACTTGCAGTTCATGATCGCTGTGCAAAGTTGTCTCATCATTTTCCCCATCAACCTGGCCATAGTGGAGATTTTCCGCCATGTTGCATCTCCACCAGAGAGGAAGGCCAAAGATCAACGTGGTTCAAGCGGTGGGTAGGAAAATATGCTACAAGTAAAACTCGGGAACATGTAAATTGTTGTAACGTCAAGTATGGAATGGTTGTTTGTGATGATTTTAAATCAAAACTTAAAATAATCAGACATCAAACTACGTACAGCCATGTACATTGTAGATACGATCAGATATCATAAATGCACTATGTATGGCACGACTGATTACCTTCGCCAAGAAGGTTATGTTTTCAGAGGCGTTCGTGTGTCTGTGTCTGTGTGTGTGTGTGTGTGTGTGTGTGTGTGTGTGTGTGAGCACGATAACTCAAGAACGCCTGGATGGATTGTCTTGATATTTAGTAGGTGCGTAGGTCTTGATGAGACGTGGAACTGATTAGATTTTGGGCCCCCTAGCGGCTTATTATGGTACTGCAGCTGAACTTCCGGTTTTGATATCTCGTGATCAAGACATGCTAGGCTGACGAAATTTGGATGGTAGGTAGCTCTTGTGCTGGGGAACAAGTGACGTGAGTTTGGGCCTTCTAGCGGCTTGCTCTGGAACTGCAGGGGCATTTGGTTAAAAATGTTTAAAGGCGGATAACTCTAGAACCGATTGATGGATCATCGTGATTTTTGGCATGCAGGTAGCTGAAGTGATGCTTGACATAATGATATTACAATTATGCAAATATTAATGTAATTTGCATAATTATTGAGGCAATTCTATAAATCAGCTGCATTCCATGATAGGACTATTCAAGCTTGTGACATATGTAATTCAGAACGGCAGAAATACAGGCAGATATCGATTATGCAAATGAAGACTTAATTTGCATAATTAATGAGAAAAAGTTAGAATTACATATTGGTAATGTGAGGAATTTCATACTTGGGACATTTGAAAGTAATGTGAAGGTGAACATAATTAAACATAACTTATTCAAATAATGACCTCATTTGCATGATTTATGAGGACATGCTATAATGGCATGCATTGATAAGATAAGACTGTCTTCTGGTGTAGAATATGATCAACAGATATAATTGATGCGATATAGGATCCTATTTGCACAATCAGGGGGATTTTAATCTATAATTTCTTAGTCATAAAGGCTAACATCATTTGGCGAAGGTATGAGATCGTGGAACTCTAGTTAATTTTGATATGGAAAGTGGAATAAAGTGGAACTTCATGAAAATATTCTTAAGTAGATAACCGTGTTAGGAATTAGTAAGGTGTATTCAAATGTCACAAAAAGTGATTCATTGTGTAGTTTCTGTACTTTTTCATGCTTCTCATAGTCTTCATAGCGTACCAAAAATCATAACATATTTCTCCGATCTGCAGCTTCCTCGATAACTTCAGATTCAGACGTCGTAAGTCTTGAAGAAATCGAGCTCAAAAAAATTGACAAGGCCTGGGACTTCTACAGACAACCATACAGTGGTGGGTGGTATTTTTCATGTTTCATAATAGAAGCTGCCTTCTAAATTTCATATCGGATCCTTGGTCATCGTTAGAATGATAAATACACTTTTTCTAATCATAAAAGGATTTTTTGTTTTTTTCTTCCAGATAGCAAGATGACTGAGGACAAGAAAAAAGGATGTATTCTTCCGTGGTGGTGCGTTTTCATAGGTAAGAAATGCTGATCAAAAGAAAATACTTTAAGGTTAGGTACTTTTACTGTAACAGATAGACTGTACATTATGTTGTATAGCTCACTGAGAACTGAGAGGTCTCACAGACGTAACATACAAGTATGTGACAGATACTGCCATTGTCACAAGGACTATTTAGCCACAGACGTATACATGTAGGTTAGATGTATTTTTTGCTTTAACCATGGTAAGAACTGCCCAATGCAGGCCATCCAGAGGGTCAGTGTTATGCTTCCTCTTTTTGAAAGTATGTTTCTATGTAATAACAAGTTGTTTAACTTTCTAATCCCCACTGTTTCCCCAAGCCTGGTTCCTGGTTTTTGCCAGCTGCGTCGTGTCTGCATTCTTCACCATCCTGTACGGCCAGGCATACGGCAGGGAGAAAGCTGAGGAGTGGCTCTTCGTCTTCTTCACTTCCTTCTTCGCGGATCTCTTCGTCCTTCAGCCCGTCAAGGTGGTTCTGTTGGCCGTCGGACTCACGCTGGTGCTGAGGGTAAGGATCCCACAGATTACAACGTACTTACGTACGTACACAACAACAATTGAGGTGATGTACAGAACTATACAGTGTTAATAAAGCTGCCTTGGTATCTCGGAATGGTAAAATTAAGTATCTCAGCCAACATTATTTTAAGTAGTTTATCAGTAGTGAACTAATTCATTGCATATCTCGAATGATGAAAGAAAAAATATGTGGTCGGTGATATCATACGTAGGGAGAGTCACTACCCAAGCAAGTACATTATGGATTTCAAGCAAAAATAGTGTGATGACTACAGTTATATAAAGAATTAGTTGATAAAGGTGGATATCATTCTATTACTCTAGTAAAAGTTTTATATCTACATAGGCACCACAAATACGATGTGGTATCGTCATATTACGCCATGTCAATTTTGTACTCTGTAAGTTTATGACATTATATTAATGCTCATCTGTCGACTTATAGAAACCTCATGACGACGCAGAAAATCAGACACCAACGCTGGACTACGAGGAAGTGTGCGCCTACCTGTCAACCATCAAGGTGGAGTAACTCGAATTTGAGTCAGTAACTCATGAGTTTAAAATTACAATGGGATGCTCATTCTAAACACCACATGGCACATAAGTCCAAAGTCATTTGGTGCATCTGAAAAACAAATTTGTAAGTTTCAAATAATATCAACCGTCGTCAGTAGACAGTCATGAGAAATGTCCTCCCATCCTACAGGCGACACCTGTAAAGGAATGCCGTGAAGAACCACCGGACTCAACAAAGCTGGCAGAAATGCGAGTCCGCCGTTTCGTCGAGATCAGCATGAAAAAGGCCATGTGCGAGTTTGCGTTTTACTTCCTCTTCGTCCTGGTGCTAGTGGTCATTGCCAACGGGCCACGTGACACAGGCATGTTCCACATGACTCAACATCTTCGGAAGACTGTGGACGACGGAGGGGATCATTCCTTCACAAAGGCGAGTACAGTTGATAAATCAGGTGACATTGGTCGTTTTCAGTTTGTTTCAAATTCAAGGTATAACAAAAGACTAGATACAAACTAAACTCAATGGGCATCAGGTTGAAACATTGCAAACTATATCAATACCGTGTTCCTTATACAGGTGGACGACGCGGAGAGCTTTTGGAACTTTGTAAGATACACACTGAGTCCTGCATTATACGGCAACCGGTGGTACAATGATGACAACAGAGAACCGGATGGATTCATGGCTGACAAGACGTCATATGTGGTCGGACCTGTCAGGATAAGACAGCTGAGGGTGGCAGAAGGTATGCATACCTTTTACAAACCTATACGACAGAAACTTTCAGTAAGGCCCGGGACCTGTTTGTCGTCCGCAAACTAAAATTAGTCTCGATTGTTCACTGACTTTACTAAATGGTACGACATGATCATCCTATATCTCACTGTGCCCACAGATCCTTTATGTAAGAGGGCCTGGCAAGTTCAACACATCTTCAAGGACTGCACCAATGCCTACTCGCACTCATCCCACGACAGCAACAGCTATGGGATGGGTTGGTCGGAGACACCTGACGACAATTCAAGTTTACTGGTGCAAAATAACACCAATCCTTGGGTATACCGTCATTCGCCAGGTACTATAAATTACACTTGACAGTTTTTTTCGTACTTATAGGTGTTTTCAATTCAACCCAAATGGCGATACTTGTACATGTGGTTAGATTCATTAAGTGGTTAGTTACACATATGTCATATCACGTCGGTCTGGCCTATTCCTGTTTTGTGATATAACGTTCTTGCATCATACGACTGTTACAGACGTACCGGTAGTAGGAACACATGCCACCTATTGGACGGGGCTACTCGTTACAGTCACCAACACCACGCCCGCCGCCGTCCTGGCCACCGTCGCGCAGCTGGAGCCCAGCGGGTGGATCGACCGCTACACCCGAGCCGTCTTCGTCGAGATGACGGTCTACAATCCCCACGCCAACCTGTTCTCCGTGGTGAGCCTGCTGACTGAGTTCACTGCCATGGGGAAGGCCTATCCCCGTGTGGACATCACTACAGTCCGACTCTACCGCTTCCAGACTACATGGGCTTGGGTTGTGGTCGGCTTCCAAGGAGTCTTCATCATCTTCACCTTGTACTTCGTTTTCAGAGAATGTGAGCGCACATATGATATCTCTTACGTTCTTGCCTGTTAGGCTCGTATATTCAATGCCAATAATAGTACACTTCCATAGGACGATAGGTGTCCGAGTCCTTGCAGATTTCGACATGTATTTCAAGCAACAAAAAGAACTGGTTGGGACATGCTAAGTGCGACTTTATGTTATAGCACAAAATAATACAATTTACTATGCCCTAATATATTCAGCTACTACTAGTAGTCTAGACAAGACTTGATATGTCATTTTTGGGCCTGAATTTGATGTATAACTCCTTTGTTACAGTGGACTTAATTTTAAAGCTACGGAGCTTGTACTTGAAGACCTTCTGGGGCTGTGTAGAGTTGGGTTTGGCGCTCCTCTCTCTAGCTGAGGTCGGGGTCATGCTGTACACCTTGTATATTGTCCTCGATTTCCAGTCAAAGCCAGGGACAAACAAGGGTAAGTCAATAGTGTTGTTGTACAACTGTTTTGTCTTAGTAGCATGTTAGAGTTTTACAAAATGATAAGTAATACGTATTTCTGGAAATAGAAATTGTTTAGATCAATGTTGGATATTTTAGAGACCGATAGATACACATTCTCTGTTGTCAAATACTGTATGGAAATTGCGAAATTCAAATCCTTAATGTCCTATAAGAAGTAAATTACCATGATTTCTGCAGAGCCAGCTGAGAGGCCGTTTGAGAAGTACCGCAGAGCGGCGTACTGGGACCAGATCAACACGTACGTGCTGGGCTGCTTGGCTTGTGTGGGGACACTCAAACTGCTGCATCTCCTACGGTTCAACAAGCACGTTGTTCTCGGCGCAGGTAAAAAAACAACTTTGAAGTAGTTGTTTTTTAATGTAATACAATGTTTCCGTTAATACGCTAAATCAGTACACGTATGCGTTTGGTAGGTTTTAAATTATTTGTAGTTCTTTCGTTCACAACCAGCATGTGATTCTAAGCCCGGTTCGTTAACACTCCGTATTCACTGTTTGGTCGAGTGCAATTTAGTGGAACATCCCCTCCGCTCTTTCAGAACCCTTCTATAATTACTTGATATGATAAAATACATGTATTATGAAATTGCAATTCGCTGGGCTGCTTAACCCTAAACAGTACACCTGGGGTCCGCGCGGACCCCAGCACTTTATTTTCTGTAATATCTTTTTTGTTTCTAAAGATTTTTTTCTGAAATTTTAGGTAATTGTCACCCATAAAGTTGTCTCTCAATACAGTGCAGAAAACTCTGTTTCTACCATTTATAAAAAAATTATATCTGATT